AAAAAAAAAAAAAAAAAAAAAAAAAAAAAAAAAAAAAAAAAAAAAAAAAAAAAAAAAAAAAAAAAAAAAAAAAAAAAAAAAAAAAAAAGATAGTAATTTTATTTAAACACTGTTATTAGAACATATGGTTATGTGGTAGCACTGCAACATTGGCTGTGATTTTACTGTAATATCTTCAACTTACCTTTCTTTAGTGTTATTTGATCAAAAACTGTACAAAAATGGGTACAATGATATTTACCAGCCCTGCTATTGAACTATACTGAAGCCAACAAAACTGGCAGTGTATTGACCTCATTGGCAGCTTTGGCCTTCTTAAATTCTGATGTATTTGCAATTTCAAAAACATCCTGTACTTTTCATAGTGCTCCAAACAGTATGATCTGAAGGATCTTACTGACAGATCTGTCAAGATTTACAGCTGTTGTCTTTGCTTTCCCTTTTGACATTGAATGTTTTATATGGCTTTTGAATGGTCCATCCATATAAAGTACTCAGAAATGCTCAGAGGACATTTAAGGAAAATCCGCACAGTGTTAATTAATTTCTCAAAAGTAAAAGCAATATAAACCAGTGTATTTTTGTACTCTGTAGAAGAGGGTGGTGGAAATGGCTGTGAAGAAATAGAAGATACCAGCCTGAGGCAAGATGTTGTTATCTCCAATTCAAATCCAATTTCTTGGAATTATTTCATTATATTCTCATTGAATTATATGCCTCTTGATGAGTGTTCTTTCAATGACTGGTGTAAAGAGGAGTAAACTGTTTATTCACGTGAAGTAGATGATTTGTTAAGTTACTGTCCTCTAGACAAATACAAATCAGTGCTTTGCCATTAGCAGTTCCTAGTGCAAAGCAGGTTTCATATGACATGATTATCCTGGTTAGATGTGTTTTAGGTCCCAGGAGACATCCCTTTAGTGGGAGTTCTCTACTTACTGTATGCTGTATCTTTAATAGAGGTCAATAGAATGGATCTGCAGTAGTTTCCGTCCTTCTTACACAAACACACGCTCAAAGAAGTGTGTGGGAAAAATAAAAAACGAAAATATTTATAAGAAATTAAATACATGCATTTGTTTCAGTAACTTTTCGATGATGAACCAGTGGTTCTGATAAACTTTGAATTTCTAGTGTTATTTCAAGTCAAATACAATATTGCTAAGTTGATAGAATCGATGACAATTTCAGTCATAGATTTTTCCTATGTTTCCTATAAAAGAAGTTTTGTAATTTTTCATTAATGAGACTTTGGAAGGGGGGGAGAAGAAAAATTAAGAATTTTATTTCATTGCACAATCCCTGTCAGTTGGAGTTATTATAGTTGTTTTATTATATATTGATTGATACCACTGTGTTGCTTCCATCTTCATTTTCACTTCATCTTTTTGGATGAAAGTAAGCGCACATTTCTCTCAAAATATTGGCTTTCCACCAGGAAGAAATTTATAAGCATTTACCTTTATAAACATTGATTTTTAAGATGCAAAATTTTGTTATGTCTTCAAAGTCCATCCAAAAAGCTGCTTCCTGGCTCATTTTCTCTGTTCTAGTCCCATTGCTTCTACAACTTTCTTCAAGAGAGTGACATATAGCAAAATCATACTAGTCTGAGAAAGTATTTCTGAAACTTTCATTAGAATATCATTTAACTGACTGTAAGTAGGGCCTGCTCAGATAGTTTTCTTAATGTGAAGTTTATATTTTCGTGTTTCTTATTTTCTTTCAGTATCTCAGTATTAGCCCTTTCAGTGCCATTTGAATGCATGTTTATTCCTGTGACTTTTTCACCTATTTTTAGACTATAATTAGCAAAGTGACAAATAACTCAGACCCTCAGTTAGCTTTTGCTATTTATAGTCTAACCCTGCAGTCTTGGGAAATGT